TAGCGACAATAAACCCGATATTGTTGTTGCAAACTATGGTTCGAACACCACCAGTGTTCTCTTGCATTGTTAAGACTGATCGATTACTAACCTTTATTTATTCATTAACATTTTATTACTCTACTACGTACATTGCTCTTATAAAACATTACACAATACACACTAACATTTAGCTTCACTCTATATTAAGAATTTTAACAAATCTTTGCGGCCAAGGTCGCTACCTTTTCTGCTGTTTCTGCTTTTCCAATTTTTTTCTGCTTTTTAAAATATTATCTGCTTTTCATTTTTAACTCAATTTCAGTTCTAATAAATCATTACTGCAAACATATCCGATGAATTCTTAGTGATGTATAATGAAATTAATAAGATGCCAATCTCGGATTTCCAATAAGTTAATAAAGACGGTCAATATATACCCCACTTACAGAGACCGTTTTTTACCAATATATTTTTCTTTCTGAAGTATTTTCTACGAATCATCCAAATCTTTAAATTCATTGTATACAATCGTCTGTCTATTGTACATTGTTAGTTAAGAATATAATAAGCTATAATATTTGTATTTAGCAGGAAAAAAATGACTGATGCTAATGACAGCCATATTGATAATGACGAAAATAGTGAAGCATCGGTAACAATCGAGTCACAAATATCATTCAGTGATGTTTTGCAAAAACTGGCTATAAGACCCAAAGAAATTCATCTGAAACTATCTGCAAATCCGCAGAAATCTGTCGTTACATTTCCAACAACTCGAGGGTGGTACTTTTCATCACTAGCACTGCGCTTCACTTCAATATTCAAAATACGAGTTGAAACTCTTCAAAGACTAAAGTTTAACAGCTCAATTAAAGTCCAAATTTCCTAAGAAGACCTGGGCTCCCCCGGTGATTCCGTCACTACAAACGAATGAAAAAAATCTGGTAAAAGAGAACTGTTTTGTACATCATTTTCTACAATATTCGTCATAGAAGTGACTGAAAATGAAGTGAAACATAAGTATATAGTAGAAGAAACGCACAGTAGATAAATTTTTATCAAAAAATCAAGTTTTATCTACTCTTTTCATAATAAAAAATGCGGTACGAGGTTCAATATTGTTTTTTTTTACATTTTAGAATAATTAAAAAGGAAAGAAAAAGCGAAAGTTAAGATCTGTTTTCTTTTCTGACAAATGTTTTACAGCTTAAATTATAGCTGATCATCGATAATGAATCAGTTAGATAAATTAGTGTCACTTATACTTCGAAACTATATAAATTTAACTCTATTTTAGGATAACTGTGACAGCCTTGAGATCGTGCTTTCGATATCGAGGTGAACATATTTATCAAAGATGTTAACAGATTTTTTGTGATCTTTGAAGAATATTACTAGCTATGATAATCGATTATGAAATTTCTGATGTGTTTATTATAGGATAGAATGTACTGTATAGAACTATAAAAACCACCTATTTTATTGTATGTCATTTTTGTAACACGTGTAATTACGGTAAAAACATCAGAATCGTGACTCATATTTGTCGTCTGACGACACTGTATTCTTGCTGAAATTTTGTTTTTTCTCTTTTAACATGGTATAAAATCAACCTTGTATACTGAGGTTTAATTCATTTCTAACGTTATAAAAATATAATTTGTTATTAATGGTTGAAGTTGAAGATATTACTATCGAATTAATTTCATTTGGTCATTCATTTGGCGTTCCACAAAATATTGATTTATTATATTCAGTACGTCATTTCTCAACAGCTAATGTTGAAAACTATCAACAATACGATAGACGACATAAACGAATACAAAATGAATTATTAAATTTAGTGAAATATGAAGATATAATTAAAATGATTACGGAACAACTATTAAGTTTCATTCATAATCAAAAGAAAAATTCAATAAAACTAGCAGTTGGATGTGAACAAGGTCAACATCGATCAGTTGCTGTTATTGAATGACTGCGCATGGCTGAGTTATTAAAAGTAACTTATAATGTGGAAGTAAATCATCGAGATTTACAAAGAACAAGATATGACAAGAAAAAACAAAAAGAAAGAACACAAAATAGAGACAAAAAATATACTAATTATGTTAAAAATAATTAAATGGATTTTTGATTTAGTATTTTTAGCTGTAATATTATTATGAGAACTTTTTTTTTATGACGATATATAAGATTTTGAAATAAAACTGATCTAGTTTCAGAATGAAAATGTTTTAATAATGCAATTGAATTTATCTATACATCCGAATTAAAATAAAACTTCAATAGTTCAAATATTTTATTTGTCATAAATGACATATTGATAATTCTAAAAGACGAAAAGTTCATAATGTTCTCATATATTTATTAATTTCCAAAAATCATATGAACAAAATGTATCCTTTTTTCTTTATATTTTTATTAATTAATCCATAAATCCCGAGTCATAGACCTTTTCAACTAAGGCTGCAAGACCTTGATTAACAGCTTCTTGTGCAAATAAAGGAATATCTTCTAATCGACCATCATGAATTAATTGAAAAATATTTCGAAAATGTGCTAGATCACCTAATGACATAAATGTTTTTTCAGCAAAACTATGAATATTTTTCGACACTAAAAAATAATAACTATCTTTTATTAGCAAAAATAAGAAAGAAATCTCACCAGAAAATGCTGATGCTAATGTATGAAACCAAAATATTTTATTTTCATCAATACTTCTCGAAAGTTTTTCGCCAAACAGAAATGTATATGCAGCATGAAGAAATTTTTCAATATTTTTCTTTGCTGGACGTTTAGCTGCAATACATATTTCTTCATTTTCATCAAGATTATCAGGACAATCACCTGGATGACCATCACAAATAAATTGGAGAGCAATACATTGTTGACTTTGAGGACATTGAAATGGTTCCGATGGATCAATACATCCTAAATAAAAATAAACAATAGATTCAAGAAGAATATAATAGTGATAATATTTAACCTTTAAATGGAATAACGGGATATAGAACGTTAAATAATGATGATGCAGCACGATTTCTTTTTGAACCAATCACTCGTTTATGATCAAACCATCATTTTAATAAATCATTAGAATTAGTTAACCAATGTGATTGAAAATCTTCAGTATGTGATCGAACAAAATGTGCATTAGGAGTTACTTCAACAATAGCTGTTAGGAGGAAGATGATAAGAATAATAAGTAATGATGAAATAGACTTCGTCATAATCGTTGTACTGTTGATTGATGTTGTCAGTTCTATTATGGTGAAAGATCAGAAAAGAAAAAAAAATATTTAAAGTTAGTAATAAAAACAAAAGTTAAAATTCTCTAGAGACATGTGAATAATTCTAGATTTTTTTTTATTTATATTGATCAGATCTCGTACACATATAAATAACTAATATTACATGATTTTTATCTAAAATATAAATGAATATGATAAATTATTTATTTCAAAATGTCACAATTCAATAAAAGATCTAATATTAGATTTAAAATTACAATCGTTGTCTTTCAAATAAATA